TAAAAACGTGACTTATTTAGGTACCACACGATGGGCCGATGTGTGATCTCCTTTGGTCAGACCCAGAAGAAAGTGTTGGTTGGGGTGTTAGTCCTAGAGGAGCTGGTTTTCTGTTTGGTTCTGATGTGGTCAAGGTAATTTATACCTAGTCTTAAGGTTTAGGGACGATTTGACTATACTTTTTCCGTGTTGCATGTGGTTTTCTCTTATAGGCTTTTTGCGAGACAAATGGTGTGGATTTAATTTGCCGAGCACATCAGTTGGTTATGGAAGGCTATAAATGGCACTTTAATGAGACAGTTCTCACTGTTTGGTCTGCTCCTAATTATTGTTACAGGTATGATAAGCGAACTGACAATACGGTTTAAGTGTTTTTAGCTTATTTTTAAAATGTTCACTTTGGTAGAGGCTTCAACTTTCTGACGGATGATTTTTAGAAGAATGTGACAAGTACATTTTTACTGTACTCTGTTTTATTTCTTCATTTTATTCGACGCTTTCTCACCTGTTTTCATGCAGATGGCGGAGTTAATATATTAATTATTTTCATAATTATATTTATTTTTTGTTTGTTCAGTTTTTACATTTTTTGACGTTTTTTTAACTTCCGTTTTTTCGCTAAATTAGCCTACATAATCACTTCTTTTGAGATGCGGTAATGTGGCAGCGATCTTAGAACTTGACGAACAGTTGAACAAGGAGTTCACCATTTTTGAGGCAGCTCCACAGGTGCGTTAACACTGCTGTTAAAGTTTTTTATTTTTCCGGCAGAAAGTTATAATTTATTTGGCATCTACAAGTCAAAATTTTGTAAACAGTGACCTAAACTGGTTTATTCAAGGAAAATCGTGGAGCTCCTGCTAAAAAACCGCAACCGGACTATTTCTTATAACGTATCTGGAGAAGTGCTTCTTTAACTGTTTTCAAGAAACAATTTTTGTGTTGTATTCTCGCAGTCCTCTTCATAAAAGTTTTTTGTTTATTGATGTTTTTAAATTATAGTTTTCTTTTTCTTTCTACATGTTTCTTCGCGTTGTCATCTTGTCTTTCGATTATTTTATTTAGTTCGTTATAAAGACGTTTTATATAAAAATTGTTTTTATTTTGTAAACTTTTAAGATGGAGTTTAATGAGATTTTATTTTGTCTTACTTTTTTTTGTTGTTGTAGGATTTTTACTAACTTGAATCTCAGTTTTGCCTCGTCTAATTCACTGGAATTGGCAAGCTTTGGTTATATTCACCTATTCATAGTTGCCGTAGTTTTGATGAACATTCTAGTTTTTTCTTTTCGTTTTCTGTGTCTGTTGATCGCAGAAGTTATTTTTAAGTTTTCTGAAACGGTTTCTGTAAAGAGATTTGTTGGGTTTATCTTCAGAATTTTAAAAAGTGCCAAAACTTTATTAAAAGTGTTTATAACTTGTCTTGGTTAATTTGTGTGAATTATGGATG